CAATATATACATGTTTATACAATCTACTACCTACTTCCATAGTGTTCATAGAAGTACTCCGTATGTTGTGCCTAATCCGAAGCTTAACGGTTTGATTTGCATTGGGCGGTTGTTTCGTAATTTGCCCTTGTCGGGTGCTCCACCTGTCCCTGCAATATACATATGAGACTGCAAGTCATTCCGCGATCCTGACGATGCATCGTACTGTCTTTTTTTTTTCCAATGTATAGCGGATCCTTCATTGGCCCCCTTCATGCACCGAAGACCAGCATTTGAGCCGATCAACCCGCATATTCGGGTCAAGGGATCAAGATCGACCGATCGCTGCAGTATGAGAATCTACTCCGTGCTAAGTATGTAGTAATTTGTATAGATTTATAATAGTTATAACTCGGACATTAAAGAACATTGAAAAAAAAGAGCCGGGAAGGGTTACCAAGTTGTACCCAATGCTACCCAGAGTCTCCAAGGAATAATAAAAAGATGAACAAAAAAAGGTTGATTCAGATAGAGAGATTAAAGAAAATAATGTAAAATAAAATAATGTAAAACAAGTGCAAAGACCCAAAAAAAAACAGACCTAATAATATAATACTCCGTACTCCGTATAAAACATAAAGGAAATCAATATTATAAAAATAAAAATAAATTAAAAAATACAAAATATAAAATACAAAAACAAAATAAAAAAAACCAACCCCAGCAAACGGCTGGTAATAATAAAATGGAACCCTAAAAATTCTAATCCTCCTATTTCACTGCCTGGAATTGTATTCGTTGGATTGTTTTACGTGTCTAAGCCATCTTTTTAAGCCTCTAATATAAACCCCGTCATCTTCTCCCTAGATCTTCTCTTTCTTCGTCTTCTTCTAGCCTTAACCTTGTGGCTGATTTCTATTCTCCCAACCTTGAACCTCCGACGTCATCGTGTTGTACTACACATTCTAGGCCTTGATCCTTATTCTCCGTTACATTTAATCTCGAAGTGTCTAGTCTACTTTTTTCCCCTTCCTTCTCTTCTCAAGGCTCTTTGAGATACTCAACTCCCTTTTTCGATTCGCATTTGATCTATACAACCCCGGTCAAAATCTTCCACCATGTATTCTTGCGCAAACTATCCCCGCGGATGCCGAGGCCGTGTCAACCGACAAGGAGCAAAGTGCTCTGACTGCGTTGTATGTGATCACTAAATCTATATCTTTGAATCTGCCTCAGCAGAAAGAAAAAAGTTCAAAGAAAATTATACAAAAAAAACTAACACGCTTTATAGTCTTTAAACTTGCGCCGTCCAGCTTTCGCTTCGCCGTTCGCCCAACCACGCGATTACAAGCGTGCGCTGCCCTCAGAGCTCTTCGGCGAGCTTTCATCTAAAGCATCTGAGCCTGAGCTGTAATGAACGCAAAGCTCACACATCCCGGGACGGTCCGGAGAACTCCTCGCTAGGTTGCATCCTGCCGGCTGGGATTCACCTCGCATGATCTACGGCCGCTTCCTTTGTTGTTTCTCATTTGCCTCATTTCATCTCTCTCTCCACATCTCTCATATGCATCGTCGGGAGTTTCTTTGTTATATTCGGCGGCCGTCTGCCCATTTGCTTTGATGCCTAATTTCCTGGGTTTCTCATCCTACCTCGCCTCTTTGATCTCGTCTGGACTCTCTACATTGGCCGGGTCAATGAGAGAACCTCCACGAATCTCCTTTTGGAAACCGGGAAACTTGGTATGGACTTTGCGGACATTTCCCTATTCACTCGCTTGGGTTTGTTTCTAGGACAAAGAACGCCCCGCCTTTTTTTTGCATGGAGGATAGAACGCATTTCTTATTTTTGCATGGATACCTACGGACATGGATCTGCCACTGGAGGGCAGTGGCGCTGATGGATTGGGTTCTTTCAACTCTCCGGTTGATCGTTGATCGACCCCTTCTTTTCCTTGCGCATACGTGTGCTTTGATATTCCTGGTTTTGCTTTGGTTTTGGTTTTGGTTTTGGTTTTTATGCCCTATTTTGATGTTCTCTTTATCTGATGTCGACTCTTTTCTTTGTGAACGGTGATGCCATACCCCTCTGTTTTACTTGCGCTTCCTATCATATGACCATTTCCCCTAGTACTATATACCTATTTACAGCATTGATACTGTTATTCTTGACCTTCTGATATCATCTCGTCTATCCCGCTTCAACAATCTAGATCTAGATCCAGAATACTCAGCCCTGTCGGCAAGATTCCTAATCCATTCTCAACCCTAACACCCACTTGACTACCCAACCCCTGCAGTAGCGCGTTCGGGTCTAAACAGATATACTCTCAGCCGCAGTGCCGCAGCGGGGGGCTGTGAAGTTTCGGCCCCCAGCCCCTCCTCTCTCTCTGTACCGTCGTGGGGACCCGGCACCCGGCTAGACCTCTTCGCTAACAAGTTTCAGCCGCAACACCTCCCGCATCTCACATTTAACCAGACATCCGAGCCCCAACAGACCGAAAAAGGAAAAAGGAAAAAGGAAAAAGGAAAAAGGAAAAAGGAAAAAGGAAAAAAAAAGTATACCCCAAGCTTAGAATAGATATACGATCTGCACACACCCCGCCCATCTCTTACCTCGCTCGAAACCCAACAAACTCTCACGGGATGTGTCTTCATCCTCCATCAGCACTCAGCCCGTCCATTTCTGTTGTGTCGCATCATCCCCTCGAATCCGCTGCGTAAAGCCGACTTAACCGAAACAATCCCTGTATCCAAATCCCCGTCAGCATCTAGACCTCCCTGGCCCGAATCTCCAGATCTGCGCCTTGCGATATATGCGCGGGTGGCATGCTCTAGCCCTTTCTCCGGGTGAGTAGCCGGGAGGGGAGTCGGGCTATGTCACACGCGGGTTTATGGGTTAGGCAGTAGTAATGGCATTTGTACGAGGCTTAGTACCACCTGCGCCGTTGATCCGGGTTTTTCGTTGATAGCTCATGCCATGCAGGGGTTATCCCTGTGCTGGTGGGCGCACACACACACATACAATGCACAATGTACAAGCTCTTGCGGGTGATATTGAATTGATGCTGTTATGGCTTGATATGATCTACCTGTCGGAGCATTGGGAGTGTGGTTTTTTTTTCCTTGGTGCAGGTTGTGTAGGTCATGTGGTATCTACGGGTATATCGGGGGGTGGAGGATCTAGACTGAGCTGGGCCTGGCTTATTTCGGGGAATTACTGGTTCCGAGGGTATGGGTTTTGCAAATATATGATAGGATGTTGTATATGATATCCGATGTACGATGTACAGCTTCCAAGGTTTTTTGTACGGAGTACTGGGAACGTGGATAGCGCCATGTCACACCTTGCTGACTATGACTGCGGAAAAGGGGCGCTTACTCCGTATAACATAGGAGAATACCAAAGAGAAAGAACTATGTCGATCACTTGTCTCAGAGATAGATAGTCCCACTCTGTGTGTGTTTTGTCCACATCTGAAACTATTGTCTATATTGTCTATATTATTATAAGCTAGACATTTCTCAGGCAGAACTACGGCCTGGGGCCAACCAAATAGCATAATGAACAGGGGATCAGGGGTGGCCAAGAAAAATGACACTCAAAAAGAAGAACAAGAACAGGAAAAAAAAAGAGAACGAAAACCCACATTCCACAGTTGGACTCTGTCAAATTTGGGCTCCATCTGAATGTAAAACAAAGCCCAGTGGGATAAGCTAACTAAAGAGCCTAGTGTTAAATCTGCTTCTAGCCGCTTCTACTGGCCTTCTATACTGTTTCTCTTTTTGTTCTCTAGCGTTGAAATTTCAAGCCCCTTTTTTTTCTGTTTTCCTGTTTTCCTCGGTATTTGGGGTAATTTTCTACACTCAGCCACATACCACATACGGAGAATGTTACGGAGTAGCGGATCGATCGCTGTTTCAGGAACTGTGGGGAATTTAGCACGTTCCATCTCCACGGGATGTTCTGCTCTTGAGAACGATGCTCTAGCTCGTTTGGAATTTCTGAGATCGGTTGATCGCTGTGGGAAGGATACTCGGATACTCGGTGTGGCGTTTACATTTCCCCGTTGACACTTGGGTAAATCCGAGATTGGTATTCGTTGATATTTGTCCCGAAGTCTAGCCGGTTATGTCTCTGGGCACTATATATTTACAGATCTGACATATTGGATGGCATCCCTTAACTTATTAGTATATGTACCTACCTAGAAGAGGAAATTTTTTTTCACGGATTACCGTGTTTACCGCGTTAATTCTTTAGATTAATACTATATTAACTTGTCTCCTATCCCCTTACTATCCCGACATAATGGTAACGTGATGGACAGTAGGTAGCCAATCCTCATCGAGGTCAAAATAATAGATTGGATTTCACAAAGTCTAGACGGTAATAAAGGTAATCAAATTCAAATCAACGACCCGTGAGCTTGTCTATATCCAACAATCGAACCAAAGTGGATATCATACGTTGCATGTGCCCCGAACACGAACCTCCATATCCACCGTGCCCTATAAGCGTCCGAAGACCCCTGTTTGTTCCTCTAATCCGATACAGATGTGTCAAACTGTCAAACAGGTCGTGGATGTATATCCGATCGGATCTACGATGCATAGCCTCTTTCGGCTATATTCACCACCATTAGACCTGGTCTGGAACGCGCCATCAGGCTGCGACGATAAGCGCGGAACGGCTGAAAAGTCGACTCGGCCGGTGCTTGGCCCCCTGGCTGAAGAGCCGCTTTGGGCGGAGATCCTTTAATCTCGGGAGGTCGGGCGCGTGTTACGTGGACACCGGCACTTGGCGGAAGAATTTTGCGATGGATAAAGTGTTCTTGCCGACAGGTGACAGCCAATATGTTGAACCTTAGTTCGAGAATAGTTGCCAATTTATATGTTAGGCTTTCTTGGTGGATCATTCCAAGGTTGTTTGAGACTTGCGGGTGGTAGTTACAGCCTATAGAGAGGCTCAAATTTTAATTCGTGTCTTCAACACGGCTTCTAGATGTTTCTAGTGCAACCATCTACATATCCAAAATCTGCCGGCACACCCATTGTGCGGTCTTCGTGTGGAGTGTCCAGTCCCGCTCGTCTTCCAATGTGTCAGGGTCGGTTGCCTCGGTGCCATGCTCACTTGCGTGACAGGCCTTTCCAAGTGCCTCGAAAACAACAACCTGGTCTCTCATATAGCTATCTAGACAAGCTCTTTTAACGGTGGAAGCAGATATCTGGTTTGGGTTGGCATTTGGGCTCTCATTTGAGATTTCCCCGATGAATCCTTGCACACATCGGCAGACTAGATCTGCAGCCGCAGAAAATGCTATCTTGTTTTGAGAATCACGCCGAGGATCACGGCCTGGCTGTTGTTTTTGTTTCCCTTTGTTCTTTGGCTTTATTAGGGGATCGCCTCCCATGCTACCGAGGATATCGTGGCCTATTCTGAACCCCGAGGAAGTATGCGCAACAAGAAGGATGTACACATGGCTGCGATGATTTGTAGCTTCTGATGTGTGCATTGTGATGGGCACTGGTGTATCTTTGGCTGAAGATTCTCTGAGAGAGTCCTCTTCAGGTTGAGGCAAATCAGAGCGTTTAGCAAATATAGACGGGTCCAGCTTCCTCGTTTCGCGCCGGAGGGTGCGTTGAGCGAATTGTTCGATAAACCGGCGCACAGTACTCCCCGGGCCCTCTTCTGTGTTGATATTCAGGGTGGGTTGATCCGGTGCTAGCACTGTGATATCAATTTGCGTGACTTTGCCGCGTTTGTGATCCATCAAATTAATCTGCGGGAACCTGCATAGAGGCTCGGCCATCTGGTCTTTTTCTAGTGACTTCTCAGGTTTATTTTCGCCATCTGGGTTATGTCGAGATCCAAGTGTATGAATAAGAAAAGTGATTGCTCCAAGGTCAATCGGTCCCGTTGTCCACCCGCGCTTGTGAAGAATAATGGACAGGGGAGGAAGGCCAAGTTTGGCGAAATTGGGCACGATAACTTGCGCTGCATAGTCATATGATGGAGAAAAAGTCGCGTTGGTCCCACCAGTTATGCTCACTTTCACAAAGGGAGCAGTTGCCTGTGATCCAACATAAAGCAGATACGGGTAGAGGGCCTGGAAGACGAGAAAAATGGCACCGGCAGTCGTGAGCTTGATATCGTATTCGGACTTTAAGTTGACATGCGACAAGTTTAGGAGAGGCCCACTTTTCGATCTGGTAGACTGCGGAACAAAGTTCAAGGACTGTGAGCCAATCTCGCCTCCCGATACTTTGCTGCCGCTAATCTCGGCCAACAGCTTCACTGCTGCTGCGTGAGATCTCTTGAGCCCCTTCTTTCCCTCTCTGTTCCCGCGAACATGATCAATACTAACGGGATGACCAGTCAATGCAGACAGTCCGATGGCAATGCGAACCAGCTGCCCCCCTCCTTCCAGAGTTCGGCCATTCAAATGAACAGGGTTTAATTTGGATGAAGTGGATCGCGAGGCCATTTCAGGGAATTTGAGTTATATTTGACGCTGGTATCTTAAACCCCCTCAATTATTTGTGCGAAAAACAATTAATATATTCAATTCAATCAGTCTCACCAGTCTGGCCAGTCTGGCCAGTCTCACCTTCATTGGGGTCTGAGTCAAATGCTGAGGCTGCGTCATTTTGGCGTGAGTCACCTTTGGGGGCCAGTCTAGATCTCGGTCGCAGGGGAGTTGGGCTTAGCGAAGACTTTAACTCTGGATTGACCTGAGGAAGTTGGTGAAATCCATATGGATGAAATCATTTCGAATGAAATGGATGAAGAATGGATGGAATAAATGTAGAAGTGGCAGTTGCCACGAAGCTATTTCGCACCTTCCGTGATGGAGTACGGAGTACGAAGTACTTCCTTCCTATTTGAGGTTGTATCTCGTCCTAAATCTTCCCTCTTCCAAATCCCCAAATCTCCAAATCCCTTCTTCTCTAAATTTCATCTTCTCTCAATACTTCTGTAGTCATATACTCTGCAGACATTTTGTAACATGTTTTCCTCTGCATCCAATACACGCAGCCTGAGAAGGTCCATGTCCACCCGCTCAATACGAAAACCGCGACGACCAGCCCCGGAGATCCCCGATGTTGCCATGCATCATGTAACCGCTGCAACTGCAGCTTCGCGGGCAATGCGCTCGAGTCAAAGCTCGTCTCAGGAGTCAAGAAACCCATACGAAAGACTAGGTGGTCCAGGAAACGTTGCCATCCCTCGAAGGCGTCCCGGATCGAGCCTTCGGAGCACTGATGATAGCTCGTCGGTCAGCCAGGGTGACTTGCCTAAAATTCCAAAACCTCGTCAATCCAAGGAAATGACCGGTGTATCGGCTCGAGGCTATTGCTTCGATGACCCTGCCGCCCTTCCACCAATCACAGAACTCGACGGGCTTGATGGACGAGACAGCTCAGTGCCCTCTTCATATCGCCGATTGCGCAAGGCCAAGTCAATGTTCTCTACCAGGCAACGAACCTCACAGACCCCATATGGAGCGCCTTCCCTTCCTTGCGGCGATCCCCTTGATCCCGAGCGCAGTCCTGGATTTCAGCTGCCACGAACAATGAGACGATCCATGTCTTTTCTTCGAGGAAGTTATCATTCCACACAAGTCAGTCCAACTGCTAAGGGTCACGATGAAGCCGTTCAGCTTGCCCGTAGCCAATTCGCCCACGATCCCGATGGTAGAGGTGTTCAGACTCGCCGGTCATCTTTCTTGCTCAGACGCAAGAAGGAGCAAAGGCCATTTCGAAAATCGTTCCGGGCTACTAGTGAAGGTGGCTTCGATACCGGACGTTCTCATAGGTCTTTTTCAACCTCTATCAAAAACAAATTCAGACGTGTGTTTGGGTTTTCCAAGTTCGCGGATCAACAACCTGCGCCACGTGGTCACTCAAATGATGCTGAGGCGTCTTCGGTAGCTCCAATTGGGAAAGACACCGAAGAATACTCTCCACAAAAGCTAACAGCCACTGAAGACGGCATTGATTCCAACTATTTCCAGTCAATGCCCCAGTCACCCAGCCGTGATAGTCTCTGCACTTCCAATTCGCGCGTCACCAGTTGGGCTGATTCAACCATGCCAAACACAGTTACAACTCGGAAGCCAGGGCATCGCCAATCTCTCTCTTTGATCCGAGAGGACGGCGATCTGGATCAGCAAATACCACGGACGCCTGTAATGGATGATACCGAAAACCAGTCTCCTTTGGTTGTGAGAGCGAACCCTCATCGAATTAGCATTGTTGACAGTCAAGATTTGTACACTGCGTTGATGAAACAGATGGGCCGAAATTCCCTGTCTGACCCCAATGAGGAGATGGTCTTCGGCACCGTGTCGCAGCATCGTGTGATTCCAGAGCGAACGAATTCAGTTTACTCCAAACATGGTCAACGCAGTATCCGTCATGTCCCAAGCCAAGAATCCTCGAACTCACCCAGTTCATTTGCAACAGCGCGTGGTGGTGATCAATCCAGTCCACGAAAGTATCCGCGCTCAACGAGGTTGATGCAAGTTTCTCAGGGCATGCCGTCTCAGGTGAAAAATCAACATATGACTGCTATTTCAGACAAAAGGTTGCTGCAATCAACTTACGCTCTGAGCGAGGAGTCAGATGAGGATAGTGGCAGCGTTATTGTTTCTCGCGTTCGGGCCTCGAAAAGGGATATTGTTTCCCCAAGTGTCTATTCCCGGACCACCAGTGGCAATACCCCGACAAGAACTGACAATGCCGACATGGGCGTCCATGATGAACCAGGAACAGCGACCATATTTACTCCACAGCGGACAACATACAGCTCGCCCAAGCGTGCCAATCGGGCTTCGTCTCCCACACCTCAGGTAAATCCCAGTGCAGACTGGCAGCAGTGGATGAGCTCGCAGATCGAAAGAATTGAGCAAGTTAGTCCCACAAGGGAGCACATCAGAGAAGATGCCCAATACCAGGACGATGATGAGTACTTTACCAGCATATCTCGACGAGCTCCTCTCGCTATCTCTGTTCCCGCTTCAGAAACTCTACTAAAGGTTCCAGACAGCCAAAATATCACCGAGCGCAAAGCTTCGGGTGAGAACAAAGTCCCGTCACAGAGCAATTTTTCCCGTCCGTTAATCCAGCCTTCCGGCATGCGAACCATCATGCCATTGCAGACAACCAAGTCAGAAAATATGGCACAGGCTCACGCTAACTCATTGGCGATGGACACTACTGCTAATTCTGGTGAAAACCTTTCATCCAAGCCCATCCCCGTTTCTTACAATCAAGAACCGTCGCCAATTCGACTGAGATCTGGGAACATGCAGCCACCTGAGTCCCCAACCCCCAAAGGAGTGAGGGCAAAGCGATCCTGGACCAAAGAGCAACAGCGACGCTATTCCGCCAAGCGAGCTCCGATCGCCCAAGATAGTAGAATCAATCACTTCCGATCCATGCGCACCCAACGAGACAACCGTGCAAACAATGAGAATGCGCGGCAGCAGGATGAGTACACTGACATGATGGAAAGCTACCACCAACTTCAAGACATTCATTCCACGATCTCTAGCAAGCGCATGGTTGATATGTTCTTGGACAGTCGCCGTCGACAAATGGGTGAGGTCACTGACAACGATACAGCCACAGGGGCTTTTCTTTGAACGTGAGAGATTGACGCTTTTTGTTATTGGGATACCTCGGGGATGTTTCATTTTTGCTCTGTCATATTCTTTCGGGTATCCTACCACTCGTTCACTTATTCGTTCAGCCATCACTTTTGGGGCATGTATACTAAAGCTCCGAGGAGTTGGATAGTTTTTTTTACCTGATATGGAAGCATGAAAGCAGCCATTGTTTATCTTTTATTATTTCCACCTGGTTCAAAAAGATTTAGTCCCGTTCTTCATCAACACTTTGAAAGGGTAAAATGGTCATCCAAAAAAAAATCAAGAGCAAAAAAAGAAATCTCTCCCTCGGGGAATCGAACCCCGGTCTCCCGCGCTTATCGGTTTTAATGACAAGCGGAAATCATCACCACTAGACCAAGGAAGATGCGATGATCGAGTTACTGCTCGACCACTTGGCTGGTTGATGAAAGTACCACTCGATCTAGACATCATGAGCAAAAATTTAGAATCATCCAAGTTGTCGTCAAAACAAAAATACTTGTTGATATTGTTGATCTAAGGGTCAACAATTTATTCAGGTAATTACTGAAGGAAATATCTTTTACTGTCTGATACCCCGTATATGAGGGTTGAATGAATATATGAAAGGGATAAAGTTATAAAAAATTGAAACTAAGCTCAATATATATATTTGTCAATTGTACTGCGAAATATCCTAACCGCGAAGTGTATTATTCTAATCTTGATTTACCACATTCAATTATAGAACTTTTCGTTTACAATGCCTCACTTAACGTAAATAATTCCCCAGAGAGAGTCACCAGAGAGAGGAAATAAACCGCAATATGTTCAAACGGCGCCTTTGTTTCTGGGATAGTTTGTCCAGCCACTGTTATCCACGTGTGGTATTAAGTGGAGCACTCGTGTAAGCAAGTGCACCATGTAGGTATTTCCCGTGTAGGTATTGGCCGTGTGGGTATTCTCCGTACCGAAGCCATCATGCCATGTAGGTATTCTTCGAGTAGGTAATTGCCATGTAGGTATACCCCTTGTAGGTATTGTCCACACATAAGAGAAGAGAAACGACCTGATTTTTGCGTAGGACCAGCGAGTTATCCAAGGGACCTAAAACATTTATCCAACAATGGATATCTTCCTGGACATTCTGGATACATTGGTACTCGACCGGTGCTACGCACTACTTTCGCCGGACCCAACAGCAACTTTCAATAATAATACTCTACCCGCTGCCGATTTGAATCGACATGTCCGCGTTTATTACCCCATGCAGCCCTCAAAGTGGGCAGAGGCAAGCCTTTGGAAGAGAGATGATATTGCCAGACAAGCATTGTCGTTATATGTGATTACATGGTAAGCCTTTTCACCCGAAGCACAGTATCCCGGAAACTGATTGGGATCTCAAAATATGCAACAGGCTTTTCGCAATGATCATGTACCTCCTTGGTAGCCTCCTACTATATCACACACTATTCGACAAAAGACTTCTCAAACACCCGCGATTCCTTCAAGAGCAGATCAAACTCGAGATCAACCAAGGAGTCTCCGCAATCCCAGTAATGACCCTCCTCACCGTCCCCTTTTTCCTAGCAGAGATCCGGGGATGGTCAAAGCTATATGATTTCACCAGTGACTCGCCGTTCTTCGGATACACCTTACTTCAATATCCATTGTTTATCTGCTTCACAGACAGTGGAATTTACTGGATCCATCGTGGTCTGCATCACCCTATCATCTACCGCTGGCTTCACAAACCACACCATAAATGGGCAGTGCCGACACCGTTCGCTAGTTATGCGTTTCATCCGCTGGATGGATGGTCGCAGAGTCTGCCTTACCATTTCTACCCGTTCATTTTCCCGTTGCAGAAAGGTGCATATCTGGGGCTGTTTATTTTCGTTACTATTTGGACGGTTTTGATCCGTGAGTCTTCTCTAATACTCATGAACCGATGGTATGATGGCTTACATTGATTCCTACAGATGATGCTGAGTACATGCCAGGATCGGAGATAATCAACGGCGCTTCTTGTCATACGATGCATCACTTGCACTTCAACTATAATTATGGTCAGTTTACAACAGCATGGGATCGTCTCGGAGGGACATACCGAAGACCCAAGGGTGATAGCTTTATGGAGAGCCAGGAAATGAATGGGAAAGAGAAAGTTGGAAATAAGCGTGATTGAGATGGAGATCCAACCTCGGGGGATCTATTTTGTATTCAAATGTACCAGTTTATGCGGCCTATGTTCTTGACTAGGTCTCCATTTGGCTCGAGATATTAATATTCAAGATAATAATACCATGTATTTTTAGATGTCTCTTTTCCTTTCAAGTGTTATGAAAAGCCATCATATATTAATATTCAACATCTATGGCGCGCTTTGGTGACACCATTGAATGAATTCATTTAAATTGCCCAAGTCATCGGTAGCCGTGTTATCCATATACCGAAGGCTGACATCGGCTCTGCCGGTAGCATCCAGCGTGGCATTCAACAACCACCAAAGCTCTTGAGCGTGTTTCGGATACCCTAGGTGAAGCAATTGATCCTTATTCTGGAGACCGATGACCGAATCCCAGATGCGCTTCCAATTACCAGACGCACAGCGTATCCTATCGAGCGATAGATATCTTAATAAGCCGGCTCTCGCTTGGAATGCGAGGGAATTAATGGCTGTTGTAATATTCTTAGTAATTGAATTGCGCGTGTGACTTCTTTCACATACCATAAATTAGAATCAGGAGATGCTCCACTGATACTGAAAGACCCCATGGTATTGGGTCATTGCTTGTAGGAGTTTCAAGTAACTGCGTGATCACATCTTTCAGAGGAGGAAGCGGGAGTTCTGTGGAGTGCGACATGGCAATTCTGCTAAAGGAAGACGCGCTTTCGGCTTCCCATAGCCCGGCACTCCAAGGAAAATGACAGTCCATCTCAAAGACTGATATTGATGGGTGGTTTTTGAAGCAGACTGTGAGGAATCCATCCGCTAGAAAGACCCAGCAAGCGATTCTTTGTGTTGATTAGCGAAATATCTCGAAAGAAAAAAAAGATAAGGAAGAATTGGGATGAAAAATACCTTATACAACATTCCTCTGCTACCAAATTTGTCCAAGTTCTCTCATCACAAACGGTCGGAGCGGTTCCTCGCTTGAGCTGGAAAATCCCTAGGGACCGTATGGTGGATACCAAACATGGATGTCGGACGATGCGAATTCGACGTCTGGTTTGCATGTTGTCTTGTCCAAATTGAAGCATCTCAATAATAAGGGCACTCTGTAGTAGCTGCACAGTTGATAAAAGTTGCGAATGTTCTTTTGGTGAAGCGAGTGTCGACAGGTCCGCAATTTTTCGAAATATATACTCTTCTGCGACGTCGAAGAGACCGGATGGCAGGGATCCTCCATCCAATGGAATAGTATATGTAGCACCAGACAAGAATATTGAGAGTAAAAGAGGGTTGGAGATGTTTCCTGGGTCGAAGGTTGGAAAATGAACCACAGGTAAATGCCAGTGAAGAGAGTGGAAGAACGCAGAGATAGAAGCGGAGATATTGGAGACTCCCAAGAGAGTAGAAAGTTCCATAAAATCAAGTGGGCTTAGAATTCCCGTGCTTCCGAGTCCCATTGACTTTGAAGTATCGACCAACTCTGTCATAATCTCGGATAATTGGTTGGAAAGCTTCGAAGGGAAGAGTGTATCAGGGCTGAATTGAAATAGATGATCATCTGTAAAAGAGGGTAGAGTCGATGGTATCTGGAAAGGGAAATTTGTAAGTTGAAAATCACCACCAAAAGCTGACATAGGATCAGTAGGAACGAGGGCATCTTCAATATGGGAATTGAGTGTTTCGAGGTTTCTTCGAACAGAACACTTTGCAGTCTCCCCAATTGCCAACCTGTCCTTTTGGAAAGATGGATTGGCAAAATGTTGGAGGAAAGAAAAAGATCCACTCTCTGTCGAGGCGACTTGGGATGTGGTTATAGAAGGCGAGAGTGAGGCTACTGCAGAGCAACTGGAATCCCGGGAAGGTGTCTCCTGGGCCACAAAAGTGCATTGTCGTCCAAGGGAGTGACAGCGAGAGCATGGTAGATTCCTATCGCAAGATGCTTTGGCAAAGAAGCATAGCTCACAGGAATGCCTTTTCCTGCCTGGTTTGGCTGCAGGAGGCGCAGGTTGGTTAAACTTTTTAGCACAGGTTTTGATATGTCTGCGCGTGACCTCGCTTTCTAAATATTAGATCATGTTCATTATTTATGGTAAAGGTAATTTACATACGGCTTTAGAAATGCCTTGTTGCATAAAGGACAGCTAGAAGAGAGCTGCTGTGTATCTGGGCGGTGGTCAGCCTATTCGTATTTGTAATCGAGAACATTGGACCTTACGTGTCGCTTCATGGCGAATTAAATGAGTCTTTCTCTGATACGCTTTTTCGCATAGTGTACATTGAAACATGACGTCGAAAGCAGCCTTTGTCTCAATAGCTGAGTGAGAAAAAAAAAGGAAAGGGGCAGTGGGGGCTGCGATGGCCAGCGCGTGGACGAATTCCATCCGTGCGTGGCCGCATCCATCATGAATTGGCAGATTAATTCTAAAGTCGCAAAAATTCGAAAAGTTCAATTTCAGGCTATTTGATTATTGTCTTAGATGAGTATCTTGGATGAGGGCAGGGAAATGACTACTCCGGAGTATACCGGTCAAAATTTGTCATTTATTCGGGCAATGTACGGAGTAGGTCCGAAAGTACTCCAGGGTACTCCGTACTATGGAGTACAGAGTACAGCCCTAAGGCTCCAACAAATCACTAAACACAAATGGGGCTGGGTTTACTCCGTAGAAATTGTTATCCTATGTAGAGCCTGCAAGAGTAAATGATAAACCGCACTCACAATGTTGCATACTATGACTTGCTAATGACATGCTTCTTCCTAACGGGCCGGGCCATTGGAGAAAGATAGCTGATCTTATATTTATGATCAATAGTTCAAACGTGCGAACAACATTAGTTCTCGTGTCCGATATCAATGGCATATGCAAATTCGGAAAGCCACGGACATCCATGACCGGATGCTCGGAGCAGGGGTTCCTTACCCACTAGTTGTTGGTTCCTAGTTGCTTTCTCAACACCATTGAATAAGCTGGGTCATTTGGGGCCTATTTAAGCGACTGGGGAAAAATAAACGGAGCTTTCCGAACCCCTGGCGCGCACGGGACCTGGGTACATCGAATTCGATCATTAGTGGATCAGTACAAAATCTTCTCAAGATTTAAGGTATCATATCCACTAGTCAAGGAAAGTTTGGTTCGTTGGAGCACACGGTGTGTTGCAAAGATTATACTATAAGATATACCCACGACTTTTGTGTGAAAAGAAGTACGGGTACTTTGTACACAACGGAGTTAGGAAGACGCCGAGACAAAGCCGAGAATCCAAGACAATCATGCACGCCAGACTGCAGATCGCGCTCCACATGCGGAAGCAGACGTTGTGGATCATAATAAGATCGAAAAAGATCGAAAAAGATTAAAAAGGCGGTGGGGTTCGCCTCTCTAGCGCAGCCAAGGTCAAGCCCCCTAAGGGTTAATGAACCATGGGGTAGTGCAGAACTTAGACCCTAAATTACAATTTGCAGTACTTCGGTGTTCGAGGATGCGCAGTGTTAATAGAAAGGGTGTACAGAAGTATTTTGTCCCGGAAAGAAAAAAAAAGCGAACAGGATTCATTGGCTTCAAATCAATTTAGAAATGCAGCGTACCTGACTAGAAACCCTTGCACTCCGATAACCAGGGTTCTGCATTAGGTAGGAGGCGCATGACTGGTCTATTTGGGGGGGGTTACGGGGACTCGGATTTAATCAAATGGTATTTCGCTGGTCCAATTTAGGATTATTCGGCGAAAAACGCCGAATAGCCCTATATTGAAACTGACACCTTGCTTGAAGTAGCCCCTGAACTGAGATATCACGAGCAAAAAAGAACTGCTTGAGATACGTTGTGCATATGGAGTTCTGTGGCTGGACTAGTTTGGACTAGGCCCCGAGCGGGAGCAATCAAATAAGGCGCTAAGTGCATTAGCGGCCCCGGGGGAAAAGTGATAGATCCAGTCTAGAGGTTGGATATCAGGTTTGGTTCATTGACCAACTTTTCAACTGAAAATGAGGGAAAATTAGGATGGGGCCAATCAGGACGTTATCTATAAGCAAAATGGGCTGGTCTGGTCTTGTAATCTGACTTGGCGTTCTTTTTTGGGCTAGGTAATGGTTTGTGATGTAGATCGACGTTGCCTCCCCTATTTTTAAGATTGCTAGAATGACTGCCTGATGGGTTGGCACATATAAGGCTGTGTGTCTCTTTAAGTTATTCTCGTTCTTCATCTCTTCGTTGTTGGTTTTTTAACCCCTCGTTCGTTTTTGCTGGTTTCATTCAGCGTCCATTCTTTATTTCGCTTTGAATATACGTCCAACCCGCAACGATGAAGCAGTCCATGCTTACTTCGTTTGTGGCTCTCGCGGCATCATGCTCGGTAAGGAAAACCCACTGTTGTTGTGACTAGATATATAGCTGACATATTTGTCATTGTATAGGGAGTGCAAGCCTCAGATGGCTTGATCAATGTGCCCGTTAATCTTTGCGCAGCCATCCTTGGAGAGGCCGAATGCCAGCAGAAAACTATCACCGGCGATGGCTTGATCAGCGTGCCCGTAAATGCATGTGCTGCAGTCCTTGGAAAAGCCAAATGTGATCAGGTCTCTTTGGCTTCAAGGAGCCCCGACGGCGGCCTTATTGATGTGCCCGTTAACCTTTGCGCGGCTATCCTCGGAGAGGCCGGATGCAAGCAAAAGACTATCACCAATGACGGCTTGATTAGCGTCCCTCTCAACGCGTGTGCTGCAGTCCTTGGAAAAGCCAAATGCCAACAGGCCTCTTTGGCTTCTAGGAGCCTCGGTGGTCTGATTAACGTGCCTGTTAATCTTTGCGCAGCCATTCTCGGAGAGGCCGAATGCAAACAGAAGACAGTCACCGGTGACGGCTTGGTCAATGTGCCAGTCAATGCGTGTGCTGCAGTGCTTGGGAAAGCCAAGTGCGACCAGGTCGCTTCCACTTCCAGCGGTAGCAGCGGTGACGGTGGCTTGATCAACGTACCCGTTAATCTTTGCGCAGCTATTCTTGGAGAGGCTGAATGCAAGCAAAAGACAGTTACCGGTGACGGCTTAGTTAACGTGCCTGTCAACGCCTGTGCTGCAGTTCTTGGAAAAGCCAAGTGTGACCAAGTCGCTTCCACTTCCAGTGGCAGCGGCAGCGGTGGTAACGGTGGCTTGATCAACGTCCCCGTTAACCTTTGCGCAGCCATTCTCGGAGAGGCCGAGTGCAAACAGAAGACTGTGACCGGTGACGGCTTAGTTAATGTACCTGTCAACGCCTGTGCTGCAGTTCTTGGAAAAGCCAAGTGTGACCAAGTCGCTTCCACTTCCAGCAGCACCAACAGCAGCACCACCAGCAGCACCACCGGCAGCAGCAGTGGCGGCGGCCTTATCAATGTACCCGTTAATATTTGTGCAGCCATTCTTGGAGAAGCCGAGTGCAAGCAGAAGGCAGTCACCGGTAGCGGTTTGGTCAACGTCCCTGTTAACGCCTGTGCTGCCGTCCTTGGAAAGGCCAAATGTGACCAAGTTGCTTCCACTTCCAGCAGTAACACTGGCAGCACCGACACCGGCAGCAGCAGCAGCAGCGGCGGTGGCCTCATCAATGTGCCCGTTAATATTTGTGCAGCCATTCTTGGAGAAGCCGAGTGCAAGCAGAAGGCAGTTACCGGTAGTGGCTTGGTCAACGTCCCTGTCAACGCCTGTGCTGCAGTTCTTGGAAAAGCCAAGTGTGACCAGGTCGCTTCCACTTCTAGCGGAAGCACCGGTAGCGGCAGCGACAGTGGTAGCAGCAGCGGTGGCCTCATCAATGTGCCCGTTGGACTCTGCGCAGCTATCCTCGGCGAGGCTGAATGCAAGCAGAAGACAGCCACCAGTGGTGGCTTGATCAACGTGCCTGTTAACACGTGTCTGGCTGTCCTTGGAAAGGCCAAGTGTGACCAGGCCTCTTCCTCTTCCAGCGGCGGCGGGGGCTCCCTGATCAACGTCCCAATCAACATCTGCCTGGCTGTCCTTGGTGAGGCTCACTGCGAGCAGAGCTCCGGCTCCGGTGGCGGTCTGATTAATATCCCTATCAACCTGTGCCTCGCCGTCTTGGGTGAGGTTGATTGCCAAGATGCTTCATCTACCCCTCCAGCCACTACCACCCCGTCTTCCCCTTCGAAGACCACTGTGCCTGTTATCCCCGGCAAGCCCACCACTCCCATTGTCCCTGGTGAGACCACT